GACGTGTAATAAAAATTATTTTTAACACAAATAAATACCAAATTGAGATTGCAAAATAAATCGTATAATCATAGCGAGCTTCCATATTTAGGACAAGCTTCGGAGCTTCACCATAAACATGATTAACTTCCGACCTTAAAACTCCCAGTGCTTTCGTAGCACAGGTGGCTCGCACGCGTGTCTATCGTTTCGTTTTTGCATTCTCGGGTTCGAATCTCAGTATGGAAGATGACTTTTTTTTTGTTTCAGTGGTCTTACTGGTTATTCTGTATTGTTTACTAAACAAACTCTTTTATTATTAATACTTATGCAGACACTTAAATTTTAATTAAATATTAAATACCTTAAATAATTTCCTTTTCATTGTCCAACAAGCTCCAGATTGCATTTTTGAATCTTATACATATTTCTTCATTTAACTTTTATTCGATTCATATAAATAAGTTTTTTTGCTATTTCGAGAAAAAAATAATATGTAGGATGTCGTATAAAAATTTTTCTTATAACTTAATAATTATTCTTTAGATTTATTTTGAATTTTAGCGATGGCTTATTTCGTGTCGTTTAAGTTGTTAAAAAGTGAAGCAGTGTTAAAAAACAATAATAAATTCATGCACAAACAAAAAAAGTCTCAGAATGATATAGAAAATGAGGTTTGATTTATTTCTTCTAGCAACAGGCGTTAATCAATTAAGTAAAGGAACATAATAACTTTTTACTACCTTATTAAATATTTAATATTGACTTACGTGTCTACCAAACAATAGTAATAGAAGACTTCAAGTAAAAAAAGTTAATAAATAATTAATAAGGCCTTTGAAGTGATTTAAAAAAAATCAGATCACATGGACGAAGAGTCGAGTCCAAGAATGCAAAAACAAAACGACGAACTTGCACGCGAGCCATCTGCGTTAAGAGGAATCTGTGTAAGCTACAGTCAAAAGTCACTTATATTTACAACAAAGCTCCAAGGCTTGTTCTAAACATTGCTGGGGCTCGCTGGAATTATTATATTTATTTTGCAATTTCAACTTGGTATGTGTTCGTATTAATAATAATTTCGATTACACGTGCAAAAACTTTAAATAATAATTTTCATCGTCACAAGAAAACTCTGTGAAATTACATCACCGTAACTGCAACCTTTCTCCAGTACACACCTTAAATTTTTTTTCACCTTACCAAGAATTAAATAAAATTATATGAAATTACGTACTTCACGATCACAGATGAGTAGAAAGATTTATAATTTTTACTCATCATAAGCTGTAGGCCAAGCTCCGGAGGTTGTCGATGAACATATGTGACTTCCAAACTGTCATGACACAATGTCTCGATAGACCAGACGGTTGAGGCTTACACCTATGGGGAGATTATTTTGCAATGCTGGGTTCGATCCTCATTGTCACCATCATTTTTTTTTTTTTTTTTTTGTGTGATGGATTATTCTGTTTTAATTTCTTAGTATAACTTTTATTTTAATTTATGTACGTTGTCAACTCTTTGTGTCGAATACATCAAAATAAATAGTTTTTCAATGCTGTGTTACGTGAGATTAAGAAGCTGATAAGGAGGTGCGTCACAAAAACAACTTAACTCGTTGTTTAATTATATGTTAGCTTCTTAAAGGCAAAGGCATGTGTGTGTCTCGCGCGGTGTTCCCTACTTATCAACTGTTCAAATCACTACACCATATTTAAAAATTCTAAAAGTCAAGCTACTTGCTGTAAAGCTACTCGAGCGTCTTTTAGGCAAGAGGCCGGGCAATAAGTAGGGAACACCGTTCGAGACACACACATGCCTTTGCCTTCCAGAAGCTAACATATAATTGACCAACGAGTTAAGTTCTTTTTGTGATGCACCTCCTTATCAGCTTCTCAATCTCACGTAACACAGAATTAAAAAATTGTTTATTTTGATGTATTCGACACAATGAGTTGACAACGTACATAAATTGAAATAAAAGTTATACTAAGAAATTGAAACAGAATAATCCAACACAATAAAAAAAAAAGAAAAAAATGATGGTGACAATGAGGATTGAACCCAGCTTTGCAAAATAATCTCCCCATAGGTATAGGCCTTAACCGTCTGAGCTATCGAGACATTGTGTCATGATAGTTTGGAAGTCACATATATTCATCGACAACCTCTGGAGCTTGGCCTGCAGCTTATGATGAGTGAAAATTATAAATCTTTCTACTCATCTGTGATCGTGAAGTACGTAATTTCATATAATTTTATTTAATTCTTGTTAAGGTGGAAAACAATTTAAGGTGTGTACTGGAGAAAGGTTGCAGTTACGGTGATCTTATTTCACAGAGTTTTCTTGTAAACATGAAAATTATTATTTCAAGTTTTTGCACGTGTAATCGAAATTATTATCAATACGAACACATACCAAGTTGAAATTGCAAAATAAATATAATAATTCCAGCGAGCCCCAGCGATGTTTAGAACAAGCCTTGGAGCTTTGTTGTAAATATAAGTGACTTTTGACTGTAGCTTACACAGATTCCTCTTAACGCAGATGGCTCGCGTGCAAGTTCGTCGTTTTGTTTTTGCATTCTTGGACTCGACTCTTCGTCCATGTGATCTGATTTTTTTTATATCACTTTGAAGGCCTTATTAATTATTCATTAACTTTTTTTACTTAAAGTCTTCTATTACTATTAATTAGGTAGACACGTAAGTAAAAATTGAACATTTAATAAGGTAGTAAAAGTTTATTATGGTACACTACTTATTGATTTTCGCCTGTTGCTACAAAAGATAAATTAAACTTAAATAAGATATCATTTTGAGACTTTTTGTTTTTGCATGAATTTATTATTGTTTTTTAACACTGCTTTACTTTTTAACAACTTAAACGACACGAAATAAGCTATCGCTAAAATTCAAAATAAATNTTGGACAATGAAAATAAAATTATTTAAGGTATTTAATATTTAATTTAAATTAAAATGTCTGCATAAGTATTAATAATAAAAGAGTTTGTTGAGTAAAAAATACAGAATAACCAGTAAGACCACTGAAACAAAAAAAAAGTCATCTTCCATACTGAGATTCAAACCCAAGAATGCAAAAACGAAACGATAGACACGCGTGCGAGCCACCTGTGCTACGAAAGCACTGGAAGTCTTAAGGTCGAAAGTTAATCATGTTTATGGTGAAGCTCCAAAGCTTGTCCTAAATATGGAAGCTCGCTTTGATTATACGATTTATTTTGCAACCTCAATTTGGTATTTATTTGTGTTAAAAATAATTTTTATTACACGTCCGAAGACTTTATTTCATAATTTGCATTATAAGATCATGTACTTACAATAATACATAATCCAGATCGTACGACGTTGCTATAATATGTAGAGATAAGTGCGCGTGTAATAAAAAGTTATAAGATAGCGTTGTCCAGAAGCGAGAAGAGCAGAGAAATTTTTCACACAATTTTTGAATCATAAGAGGGAATTAAAATAACGAAGAATTATAGTTTTTGTAAATAGTTAATGTAGGCGTTTAAGGTTAGGGAATTTCCGAATCCTCGATAGCCGAGTGGTGAAGCGTGTTTGTGTCACACGCGGGCTCTAGCTACCTGGGTTCGATTCCACTTGTCTGCAGACTTTTTTTCGGATATTAATATATATCCGAAGCCGGAGTGAGTAAGTGTGTACAGAAGAAAACCAACTTGTTAACGAAATAATTTTTTGTTTAAGTTTAATTTTTAGGTACCTTGGGATCAAAATGAATACTTTAAGAACTATTCATTGATTAAGATTTAAAAAAAAAGAACTCTTGGCAAACTTGTAAAGAATTCAAAAGGGGGAACATAAGTTTAATATTATAGGTATACTCTAAGAACACTTTAGGAACACTTTGCGAATACAAAAACAAGTTCCTTGGTGAATTCATAAAGAATACTTTAAGAACTATTTATGGATTAAGATTTAAAAAAAAAGAACTCTTGGCAAACTTGTAAAGAATTCAAAAGAGGGAACATAAGTTTAATATTAAAGGTATACTCTAAGAAC